GCTGTCTAGAAGACATCCTCCTAATGTCCTCAATGTTGTTTAGATTTTGTAACCAAGCCAAGTATTTTAGTTGTCACTCTGCTCTTAAATGCCACTTGCAGCCATAAATAAGGTTCTTGCCTATGATTAAAGGACCCTTTGTTTTAAGGAATATTTAGATCTTAAAGCATCTGAGGTTCTTATGAGCCAGTTACAAAGTCCAAAACAAAAACCCTATGGGTTGCACAAAACCAAAACCATCCAGAAAGTTTCATTTACTTGCTTCATTCATTGTTGCTACCATAGAATTGTTAGCCATTTTAAACAGATTAGTTAAGGCAAGCTGGGCTTTTTTTTAAGAAATCCTGTTGTTAGACGCTAGCTGCCTCAACTGGCTGGACAGTTTCCCAAGAGGAGAAACCCAAGTGGGTGACAGAAACAATGAACAAACCTCCATGGCACTGCCATACCCCATCAGCATGGGTTGTTCCGCATACACAAATGCCTTCCTAGCATTAATACGAAGGGTTTTACAACAGAAAGCAAAAATGACATTATTAAGGATTAGCATTCAAGGACTTCACAAGTTTTTATCCATCGGATTTAAGGCAGGCTGGACTCTGGACTCTTTCCACATTCATTTTGCCAGAGCTCAGCGAGGTTGGGGACGCTTGACCGCTGCTGGGCCAGCAGACAGAAGCACTCACTTTTACGAGGGTTACAGGCTGAATTTTAGTAATATTTATCCATTAAACTTTTGGCACCAGAGCAGATATAAATTCCACCATCCTTAATCGGCGCCTTCAGCTGCCTTGCGAGGCTTGATGTTATTTCCCTTCCAGATAGTTCACTTGTTTGTATATAAAACAATTCTTTGGCACATACCCAGCTGAGTTTACTGAGCTCCTGGCACCATTTCCTTTGTCACCCTGTCGGGGGGGTTAAGCATCAGCGGCCAGAGGAACCAACTGTGCAGAGCCCTGGGCAGGGTCTATCAACGCTTAAGACTCCCCATAGCCCAGAGACAGTGTCCTGCTGGTGGGGGGAGCTGGCCACCCCACCTGGCTGGGCAGGGAGCCCCGTGCCGTTCCTCCTGTGTGCCGTGGCTCTGGCGACATGTCCAGGGGACTGCACAGCAGTGGGATCATGAGCACGCAGAGGTGAAGCTCACGTCCACGCTCGGCAGCACACATGCGCAGCAGGAGGGGTAATGGTGCTCACTCCATGTCCCAATGCACAAAATAAAATGTTCGAAACACTGCTCATAATTAGGAGAACTAGCTTGCTGGGCAGGGGGCAATATGCACTATTAAAATGCTGCTCCAAGTACTGAAATTTAGCTTAAATGAAGATAGAGAGCTGCACTGCAATTCCGATTATGTGCAGGTGATGTGGGTTTAATGGATATGGGCACTTCACAGACAGCGCACGCACTACACATTACTGTGCCCACGGTAATTATCCCTTTTTCTTTTTAATCAGAACATAAAATAGTCACATAAAGCTTATGTAAATGTTGCGCAGGAACGTTAGGACTCTTAGCAGCAACCATGTCTTATCTGCTCCTAGTTTGGAAAAGCCTCAGCTTGTCCCTGCTATGAGTAGCTATGGCACTTGCTACATCCTGCTTGCTTGGATGTGTCACCTTCCCTGGCTTTGTGAAAAATGAAAAAGAACGAGCAGGCAATCAGGAATGACAGGTCTCAATAAAGTTTATAACTAGAGCTTGAAGGTTGCCACATGGCCACAAAGTAAAAGTGGTGATTTGTATTTAAGAATCAACTCTTTCTTTTCATTAATGAGTTGTAATAAACTCATGATTTACCACCTGCTTCATTATTACTATTCTTTTGCTCATCTGGCAACTAGGCTTTTATTTAGTCACTCTGATCAAAGGCTGTGAAGCGCCTTTATCTAGGCACTTCAGCCAAAACTGCTAGCGGAAAGGCTACCCCTAAATACTTGATACTGTCCAGACAACGTTTGCGACACAGGCAGCGAGTGGAGCTGCTGGGGGCACCACGTGCCACAGGGGCCGTGCATATTCCTGGGGTAAGCTCTTGCTACCCTGCCCAACAAAGAACGGCAGGAGCCTGGGGAGTCCTGAGCAATCACTAAATTAGGGCATAGGTTTTCCAGCAGCTACCAAGCCAAGGCCTGGCAGTGAAAAATAGAGGGTGGCAGCTTAAGGGCTGAAGTTTTAGAGGTGAAGAGTTTGGACGCACAGATTCTTGCTATATCCTGACTCCTCCCCACCATTTTTTGGGTAGTTTCTATATTGGCCATTTGTTACTGGTTACAACAGCAAAGCACAACGCAGTTCCCATCCTACACGTCTGGCAGAACACACTCAAGACAATGCCAGAGTTTATCCTTTACATTATCCTTTTGGTGTAAGGAGAATATAACTGTGTCTTATAAGGACAGAGCTGGTGACAACAGTCACAGACGTGCAATTAGCAAGGAATGGCCCTTGCCCAGCGGAGGGACCACACACAGTAACAATGAGATTGCCAAGTCTGAATGAGTGCCTGGATGAAGGGGACAGTGAGGGGTGAATCTCAAGCATGACAGGACAACCTTAACCTTCCCTTTTTTTTTAATGGGCCAGAGAACAATATCCCTTCCCCTCTCCCTCCTTCATCAAGGCCCTCTAGATGCGATTCTTCAAAACAGCTTTTGATAAAACAAGAAGAAAAGGTCACAGCAGTTAATGTCCTTCTCAATATGATCCTGTTTGAAGCAATGCAATTTTAGAAATTCCAGGATTAATTACTTCAAATTCCCTTGTTTAAACTCCTGTGTTATGCCAAAAAATGTATCCACAGTAGCCATCCTACAACGGGCTTCTTGGCCATGCTTGGCTCAATGAAGGCCTGCAGGTTTGTGCTCAGATAAAAACATTTAAAATACATTTAAAACACACTGAAAATACTAACGGTTTTACTGGAAGTTATTGCTATGACCAAGAATAAGAAGCATATTTGCCATTAAAAGCCTGAAGACCTCTAAGGTCTTGATAAAGAAATGCTGAGATCCCAGAGGGCTCCTCTGAAGGTCAGCGTGACAGAAACAACCAAAAACAAAGGGAGGGAAGACAGCCTGCCTTGACATAATGGCATAGCTCACCGCTGCAGGTTGTACACTTGCCTCTTTAAAATTAAATGACATTTATCTAAAATCTGTACAGAGTCCATTACCAAGTCCATTGCCACAGGTGCCTGTAGCACAGGTGAAAGCAGGGCATTCTGCGTGCCGGAGTCTTGCGCCTGCTGGGCTCCAGGTGCACCAGGTTCCCGTCTACATCCTGCAAAAACCTCACTCTTGTTCCTCAAATCGCCTCATGATCACAGGTACAGCACATTCCTAAAGCACAAAGCGGGCTGTCTTTCTAGGTATCCTTTATATCCATTATGTTTTGGAGGGAGAAGGAAGGAGGAATAAAAGAGAATCAGATCTCTCTTCAGTGTTAACAATAAGGAATTTTTTCCAAAGTTGCACACATTTCAATTTAGCGGCACAATACCAGTATGTGCCCTTCTTGCAACTATACTGAAATCCACAAACTATAAAGACATACTTTGAAAAGTAAGCTCACCCCACGTAACACACATCTGTAGATGGTGCTGGAGTCCACCTGTGACCATACCAGACTACCCAGTAAGTTCAGTTTTGCAACCATGAGGCCTGGGCAGTATTTGACCCCCTCTCCCTGTTGATTCCAATAAAAAGAGCAATAGGAAATACATTGGTAGTGCACCAATGATGTTACAAATACATACCAGTATATCCAGGCAGGCTGCTTTAAGTAGAGTTATCTGGTCTGCAATGGTCAAACTTGTAAAGCCTGGCAATCGCTTTGCAAATTCCACTATTTTAATAATGCACTTTGTTGCAAGTTCACTGAATTTGTCCCAAAGCCCAAGGTCCAGTCGAACCCGATGATCTGCACTGGAGTTCTGGAAGACAGACAGAAGGCACCATAAATCAACAACATCCTTTTCAGTAAATGGTTTTCAAGGGAAAGAAATGACAACCGAGTACTCCTTCCAGAAGCACTTTCTATTAACATTCCAGGCATTTTCTGCAGCTTGCTGTTGGGATGATGCTGGTTTTAAACTTGGATTAATTGTCTGAAAATTCCTTGGATATTTCTCTGTTGCTTACGATTGCAGAGGCCATCTGTACAAGGAATACAAATGAACTTAAACATTTCCAAATGCCACTATCATTATTCTTCCTTGTCATTATATAATAAGTGCATTGAGAGAGACAATTTACAGTTGTACCCCAGGAAATATAAATGAACAGTGGAACAAGAATATCAGGTCCTCATCTGGAAAAAGCAGCACAATATTTGGAACATAGTTTCACATACTTAAGGTCTTAGAAAATTAGTTCTACTTAATTTATCTGCTCTGTGGCTCTGCAAGAGTTTTACAGCTTTCTCAAGCTAGTCTCCCAAGAATTAAAGAGCATTTATGTACACAACGTTAAGAAAAACACCATGCGCGTTGATGAATGCTATATGCTCTTGATTGTGCTACCTAATATATCCTACTGTCTGACACGTTACAAAGGCATCCCAGCTGCATCTTTCACTGACTTTTTCCATATATTCACATATCTTAATCCAAAGTCCATAATTTGCTAGGATGCACAGCAATATCTGTGTTAAGTTTGTGATTAAACTCACAATTTTGTACATTCAGAATAACCACCTAAACCTTGAACGAGGTACACATGACATGCACGTCAGCCATGAACCGGCTGACTCAAAAGTTGCTGTGATCTATTTGATGCTAGCCCAACAAAAGATGGTGCCATGGGGAGACCTAGTGAGTCATTTCCAATCCACCCATGGTTCCCACGGGGTGACAAGACATGGATAACAACGGAGCTCTGAAATACCTGAGGCCCCTCTCCTCCTTCCCCAGCATGCAGTGTATTCCCATTTTGCCAGCATTTGATCCAATGCTGTTTGGGTTGCAGCGAGTGCAATGGTCCCCGCACTATTTCATGAGCCACCAAGTTTAGCACGCATTGCAGCTGCCTTCAGCATCTGGGCAACCTCTTCTTCATTGCAAGAGGAATTTTACCTGTAAAAATATGCTGGATTTGAATTTGCAAAAGGTGGTGAGCTGCAACCATGGAAAACCAAAGGCAGAGTTTCTCTCTTTCATGTTTCATCTGAGCTTGTTGACTAACTGAGAAAGAGAGAAGATCTCCAAAAAAAAGGGCCACCTGCTCCACATAGGTACTTAAGGCAGGTACAGGAAAATCCCCTCAGATGGCAGCTTTCTCCCCAGCTGCAAGGGAAGCCCATGTGATTACCTGCCTTAGTCTTAGCTGGTTAAATTTAAAATGACAAATTAAAGTTAAATGAGAGGAGTATCAACCTAAAAGTCTAATAGACACAGCAGATAAATAGCCATCCGAAAGCTCAATGTGTCAATTTACACAGACCGCAGTTTCTTGGAGGAAACATCTCTAATGATCCTGCTACCATCACTGCTGATGGTGAGGATGTCCACCTCCTTGGAAACCTTTGAAGCCATCAGCTTATCAGCTTTCTTCAGTTCATGGGCCTGAAGAGGTCGACAAGGGGATGTGGGATGAACTCAGCTTGGCTGTGATGCTCTGTCACCCTCTCCCAGGGCCACCTTCACAGACACCATGACCACCATCAGTCACGAAGGGGAAAGTCCTGATGGGTCCCAAGGGTGCCACCAGCCCGACATTCACCCTCACTTGCAACAGGGTGGAGATTCAAGCCAGTGATATTTATTTTAGGCCCTTATTGCAAAAAATAAATGCTAACCATGCTGAACAGTTTGAAGGTGCACAGTTGCTCTTCCCTGCTCCCTCTCTTTTTAAAGGATAAGAAATTAACTTCATCATTTTTATTTGAATTTTTATTCTGGGAACTTCCTCTATTTTGTTTTTGTTTTCTTTTTTTAAATGACATAAGAAAAGATAGGAGAAAATATCTTTATAATCCTAAGCCTAAACAATTGCCTTCAGAATGGTCCAAAACTAAGGGGTTAACAGTCATTGTAATGCCCTTTGAAACATTTCTTTCGGCTACTGGAGTATGCATCCTTCAGATGTATTTTATTTCATCCTCAAGGACCTTGGTGAAATACAGTACATTGGAGGAAAAATAAGATCAAGATGTGCAGTCATTCAGGCTGTAATTAAATTTAATAGGCAGTTTATCCAGTTCATAGAAAGACAGCATAGCGGAGAGCTACACAAAGCAGAGCCTAAAGCAGGAAATCATTTTACAATAGGGTATCCATCTGGAAAAAAAGACGTTGCATGAAACCAGCAAGTGTGAACGAAATCTTCATCAGTATCATATGAGGTTACTTTATCATGCTGCAGCACTGGCAACGGGAAGTTTGACATGTCTTCTATTAAGAGTAATGCACGGCCATCTTAACAAATGTAAATCTAACTCACTATTATGCAAACTGAAGAGAAGGGGCAGTTAATAAAATACAAAATAACTCTTGTGTTTTATTGCACCGGGTACCAGATCCTCAGCATTGGAGCTAATGTGGTTTACACATAATTTTTGAGATGCTACAAATGGAAAGACTTTTAACATTTTATTTGGTAATGAATATCATTGCAAGCTTAATGGAAAATAGCTGGATTTTTAGCAGTATTTCTGAATATGTAAAACCAAAACTGACTCAATATCAAAGTATAGGTTGAACAATAAAAGTCGGGATTAATAAAATTCATGTTAGAAACAGAAACTCTGATTAAATTTGCCTGGGAATCTCCTGTAACCATGCTGTGAGAAAGATGCAGACACTATGACTTTTCCTGAATATTTTACTGAAGCAGTTTTTTGGGTGTCTTTTCCAGGCCTTAGCATTTTTTTCAGGCCTTTGCACCAGCACACATATGGTGGAACAATACTGTAATACACCCTAGTGGCATCTTTATCAGCAGAAAAGCCCAACCTTGCTATGAAATCCAATTAAACAGCCATTTTTGCCACATAAATTGATCCAATTTTTTCCATCATTTTTGGTTTTTTTCATTGCAGCCTGCTCTATCTCCACATTAACGATATGGGATGAGGTACTTGCAGAAACATACACAGTAGCAGAATCCCTACTGTCTTTAAAATCCACTTTACAAAGGAAACAAGGCTCACAGGGGCACTCTGCCCTAATCAGGAACACTTGCTATGCCTCTTTAGTAAAAGCAGCAATGCACTCCAGCTCTGGGGAGTTCACTGAGGACCACAGCACATGCTTCTGCTCAGTTCTGGCATCAGGATACATATATGTGTGTGTATATATATATATTCATCTGCAATTACACAGAACAATATCTGTGTAACTTCTAAGCGCAGCACCTACAAAGAACAAAATGCCGCTGAGGTGCAAAACCTCTGCTTCCACACAGCCAAGAGCAACCCGGGAGAACCCACAGCAAGGGTCCGCAGAGTCAAAATTATTTTCTGTTTTATCCTTCCTTTATCATGAGGCTGGATGTAACACAGCTGTAGACTTACAAATAATACCAGTCTCGAGGGACGAACAGTATAGTTACACTCAATTATACTATAAAGTATGACATCTCCAGAGAAATTACTAAGGTACTCTCTCTTACCTGGATGACAGTAATAAAACAGATCTATTTATGATGGACTTTTGAAATCCATTACATTTAAACAGCTTGCTGATTCTCATCATTTGCAGAACTATGCTTGCCACTGCCTACCAAATGCAACTGTAAAGTCAAATGACCCAGGGAATTTAATATGAGTGCTATTCTCCCATTATTTTAAGTAGACTTTTATTAACAACGCAAAGTATGGTAATTATTACAGATAGGGACACTCTCTCTTTTTAAAGAGCAGGTGGATATAAAAAAAAAGTAATTGAAAATGCTTCTCCAAAACCATTTTTGAACAGGTAAAAATATACAATGAGGAAAAAAAAATCATCATGTAACCTTTCCTTTTGGGAAATGCAGGCTACAATGCTCAAGAGCGATAGGAGCCAGACATGCAAGCCAAATGTCTGAAAGGATTTTTTTATGACTGTATCTCTGCAAGGTCTTTTTTACTCCACTCTCTTATACTTAAAATTCTTTCTCTTTTTAGCAACAAAAAAAAAAAAATCATGTTTCAAATCAGTCTGAATAATCACGTATCTGAAGACACACAGGGGCTGCGCCTGCAGAATACTTTCTTCTGTCCATGGTCTCTGTTAGTACCCAAGTGCAAAGCTCATTAAATTCAAGTGAATCCACATCAATTCAATACGCTCACTTCTCACCTCTCACTTAAAGAATTAACTAAAAAGCTCTAAGGGTTACAAAAGCAATCTGTATGCTCTGTAGCATGAGCACACGGTGCTTCATGACTGTTAGCTTGTAGAACTGGGCATAAAACTCGGCATAAAAGCAGGACTGGTGGGAATCTTCTACCCGTAATAGCTTGTTACTATTAAAGAAAAGTAGAGTGGCATAGGCTTCTAGCTCCCCTTGCACTCAACATTTAGGAAAAGGTCTGTGTTCTCCTTTCTTTGACTTCTGGTTTCTATTTCAAGACTCTCAAAAGGAAAGATGACTTCCTGAGCCCTGCTGTTTGATGAGAAGCTGGTGGGGTTGTCCAAGCACCAAAGCCATGCTCCTCTGACCAGCACACACACCTTCCACCTCCCAGATCCTCTGGATCCTCCGCCGCTGCAGAAAAGCTTCTCCCCTGCTCCTGGGCTGATGGGCAGCTGGAGGTGAAGACAACCCTTACTCCAGACCCAGCAGTACTCTGTTCCTTCCACAGCTGGGCAGAGACAGTGTGCATAAAAATGAGCTCTTAACACTGAATTCCTATCTAAAAAACTGGAGGGGTTGTTAGACCTTAGATGAGAGATTTAAATATTCCGCATTTCACGCAGAAACTATGAGAATGCTGCAAGAAGACAGTATTTAGCACTGCCACTATTAGTCTTGACACAGCTGTTGCAGGAAGCTGTATCGCTCTCAAAGATTTGAGGTAAGCAAAAAATAATTCCTTCAGTATAACTTTGTTATTGCAGCTGATAACACCAAACCCTGACAAAACAGGAGGGACTTCAGCCATGTGCAGGTAACCCCTGTGGACTTTCAATGGACCAACAAAAAAACCAAGAAGACTCTTTCACCAAGCTGTCTGATCTGGCCTGAGATACGAATAACCAAAATCCAGCCTGAGAGAGAGCGTGGTCAGGTCATGGGTACTCAGGACTCACAGACAGATCAGATTCATCCATTCATTACTTAGATCCAGGTGCTCTCGGTAAGGGTTCTGAAATTCCAACAGGGACAAAAACTCACTGTTGGGGAAAAAATGAAGGCATCAGCGGTGGGTGTGATATGCAACAAGACCCTCTCCAATTTCATGCTCTTGTATAATTTCAAGAGCTAAAATATCAATGATACGTAAGCATCTAATACATAATGCAAGCGTATAGGTGCCCAGGTTTACCTTTCATCCCTCCAGGATCTCTGGAAACTTCCAGTACAAAGTACCATCACACCAGCTGCAGCGCACTCTTCTAACTCAGAGGTTACACGAAAGTACGTACCAGCACATTCACACTGGGAGGTGTACCCATAGATTATTCTGGGATAGCCAGGCCATTTGCAAAGCAGGCTGTGAGCAATAAGCTCTGGCACGCATACCAGTCTGGCTGCATGTCCCAGCTGCGGACACACGATCACCTCTTCTACAAGGCATAAACTCACTGTCTTTGAACTGGGAAGATATTTTTCACACTCATTCAGAAGCTCTCTCACATTTGCAGAAGTGTGAGAGCCTGTTTGGAGGATTTTATTCACTCCAATAGGAAGATGCAACCACACATGCTGAGGGGAGGGCTGGAGGGCATTAACGCAGGAATTTCCTTGAAAAGACACACTGTGGATCCCACTGTCTCCAGCTTTGCCTTTGGTTATGTTGCCAGCTGGCTGCTTTCAAGCTTCCAGCCTCGCATGCTGCTCTAGTCCCTGAGTGTCTGCCTGTGCAATATTTACCAGCACGCCTATGCTGACTGTTTTGACTACATCTCACCCAAGCAGGGATAGCACTAGAGAAGCATACAGAGGACAGGCACATTCCCCAGTACTAACCATTTTATGCAGGTCTCAAAATTTAATGTGAAAAATGTTTGTGAAAATACTTACAGTAACATGAAAAACATGTTTTTTTTCTAACATTGCACCATGTACGCTTGCTTTTCTTGCACTTAAATACAAAGTCTTACACCTAGACCCAAGAGTTTTGAACCTCGCACTTTGTAAATGGATGAATATGCCATAAAACAGCACCCTGCTCACTAGAACAGTGAATATTGATGCCATACAGGGATTTCCCTAGATCACTCCTTGAGCAATGTAACGTTTGTTTCAGTAGCAGAGCATTTACTGAAAAGAGAGAGCAATCCAGTGATAAGAAGCATTTCACCTGGCCTTTAGGGCTTGGTCCCGTCTCTCCAGCTGGGGAACCATGGAGGACAAGGATCATGGAGGCAGGCATCCCCCTGCCCCAGCCATGCTGCCCCTGAACTCGCAGCTTCAGCAGCGAGAGCACATACTTGACTACTTCAGTATCTTCTGCACAAACCCTCTGTAAAAGCCTGTGCTGCTACAACGGACAGCAAGACCAGATCAGCAAAGTTATTCCTCTACCAACAGGACTCTAAACATTACCTAACATTTATTTTTAAACATCTGTTTTATTATTGCATTTGTAAACTTGACATTGAATTTTCTCTCTGAAATCAATATATATTACTGACCTTCTCTGTATTTAGCAACATACATATGTACAGAAAAGATTTATTTCCCTGACTCATCCTCTGAAGAAATTCCCATAGTACTGAACTTCTTCATTTGCGGCCGACTTTTAATTTTTAAAAGCAGCAAAGTGTTTGCTGCTTTGTGGTATTTTGGTAGATTGCAAGAGGAATAAACTGCAAAGGAGCATTTTGGAAACTGTCTTATTTAGACATATCATATTTTCCTTGACCTTGGTAGCTTTGGGACTGTCACCAGTAATCCAGCAGCATTTAAGCACTCTCTACACCTGCAAAGTTGTAAACCACTGACACACAAGCAGAGATCACGTCTTTGGAAGCCAACAAATTTCTAATGAATAATGGCATGTAATTGACTCAGGGACTCCAAGCTTGTCTCTTGGCTGGATTAATCCTTCACACGGTCTCTTGCAATACTGCTAAGTAATGCTTACAGTGAAGCGCAATTTCTCTTCTTCAGCATGTATTTGCAAGCATAGCTGTGTTTTTTTAAGGTTAAGGAGGTGCAAGGAGTGCATCTACTTCTGCATCTATCTAAAATGTCTGAAGCCTCCAGTGCAAAACTCACATCATCCAGGCAGATCCAGAACATATGTGTCACAAATCATACTTACCGTAGTGTACTTTCCCAGCTGGCAGAGTGAGGGGAAGGTTTCCTGGTGAGCTTTTCGGATCTTCTCAGTGAGATCATCCAACTCCGCTGTCATTTCATAGTTTTCTGTGGACTCCTGCTTTGAAGGTTCCTTCTTCTTTTTGTTCCTATCATTTCTGACAGCTATAGAAAAAGCAGAGACACAAATCACGTGTGGTTATTCAGATCACCCCATGTTGCTCTTGCCGCTCTACTTCAAAACACTGCAAAACGCTTTTATTTTAAACACAAATTATTTTAAGTGGAGATTAAAATGTTATATGCACAGAGAATACTAACGCAAGCTTAAAAACTCAACTGTAAGAATAAAATTAAAAGGGATAATGATGAAACCAAACTTCCGTAGGTGCTTGTTGTGGATGTGCCATCACACTCCCATAGTATGTACCTTCCAAGAAAGTCAGCTGCAACTTTACATGAACTGTAAGCGTCTCAGTAGTTTTGTGAGGTGGGAATTTTTCGTTGTATCATTACAGTTGTGCATGGTGAAAAGCAAAGTCCTCTGCAGTGATGCAGTCAGTATGTTAATGGATGTGAACAACACTACAGAAACACAGCAACTGTCTGGCTTTTTAAATTTCTCAGTATGGAAGACAACAAAACCCATACTAATACAAACTCCACCAAGCGAAAGTTGTTTAAAAGGAATGTTAAATTTGAAAACAGTAAATGAAAGAAGATGAAACACATTAAACTCACGATCTGCAGATCAAAGGAGAAGTGCAAACACTTGAAAGAGTAAAAATGGCAGTGAAGCTATCTAAAGTTGCTTGCCATCTGCTCCTGTGCTCAGATCAGCCTTCTACCTTCCCCCGGCCATCGGGGATTACTGGAAATATGCATTGTGCAGCAGTCATGCCGTAATTGATTTCCCACATATTTGTGTTTTGTAATAAAATATGACAGCTGCTCCATCACCATGCTACTCTTTGTTCTTTTAATGAAAATAGCTTAATTTTACAAAATGTGCCCAGGAGAGAAGTCTATGTCTGCAGTATTGCCAGTATTTGTGAGTTTTACCAAGAGGCTTGTTGTTAGCTAAAGCTAACTTCTTAAGTGTAACCAGATGCATAAAGCTTTACAACAAAGACAAATAAAATCAATCACTCTCCCCAAAGACTCCATGTCAGTATTAAACACCCTGAAGACTAAACACTGCTGGACAAATAAAAACCAATCCTAAAGTTCACCAGTGTTCAAAACCTCATGATATGTAAACCAGTGGCCTGAACTCTGAGGGTGTGGCTTGGTGGGTTTGGCATACGTGAGGATGACCAGGGATTTTGGATGGTCAAGCATCTGCTGATTCTCATTTGTACTGTGGTGCCCACAAAAAGCACATCTATCTGTGCTGTAGGGAGGGAAGCACAGCAAAATGGGCAGATGCCCAGAACCACCTCCATGCTAGCTGTTTGCCTTGATGGGTTCCTCAGGCCCATCTCCACATCTTCTGCGGTTGCTTCCTACACACCTGTGAACCACCAATGATTGCAAAGAGCAGACAAATGGTGTATGTTCCAGGAGGAAAAGGAGCTTTCGATCCAGTCGCACCTACAGCATCTGTTCAGGAACTAATTATACACAGTTGGATTCATTTTCCTCTGGGTATTATTTCTGAAAGAAAACTAAGAGCAATATGGGAAAATGGCGGGATGCAAAGCGGCAGAGTCAAGGGCATCTACACAAGTAATGTAATATGTGTAACAGCAAACAAGGGGTAGATGCAGTGAATATTGTTGCTCCTTTCTGAGGTGATCAGGTACATACTCCACACAATGAACAGTTCTGGTTTTCTCACAAAAGGTTTGACTTTGCAATTGAGCGAACTCTGACTCCAACCCAGCAGATATTTTAAGGATGAACTTCGCTTTAACTTTGTGACCAGACCTGCACTGGAGTAATTTATGTGCTTTGCTGGATCAGGGCTGGGATGCTGAGCACCCCACTGGATTTAAGCCTAACCTCGAACACCATCAATTCTCATGTCTGGAGTAACAGAGACTCAAGGAAGGCCAAAAAAGGTAAACAGAAAAGGTACCTTCTTGTGAAGGTTCACTGCTACCAGTGTAGTCAGGTCTAAGGGGGAGTTTAGATCCTCCCCCTTTCTTGTTCTAATACTCTTCTAAAGCCAATGCCCCAATTTGTTTGCTGGACCCCAGGGCAGAGCCCAAGTACACTGTCTTGCATTGAAAAAAACATCCAGGACAACAGAAGATAACTCTGGCAGGAGATGTGCCACCACTCCCTTGCTATCCTGGCACAGCTGCCTTGGCAGTTGTACCTGAAGTCTCGTCCCCTCCAAAGGCCACCAAAGAAAGAGCTGCTGGTCAATCCGTATCACCAAACTGGCCCAGCTCTGCCCTCTTTCTTTTCAGACATAAATCACTAGAGCATAGGAAGGGGAGAATTGACACATCCTGAAAACTAAGAACAGCTTTTGTTCACCATAACCTTTTTTCTACAACTCTGATAGTCGTCGTAACAACGATAAAACCTGAATAACATTTATCTTCTTGCTTTATGTATATTTTTTATATTTCCTACATTTGTCTTTGCTAAGGTTGCATCAGACATGGCAGTGTTTCTATATTCCCTGTGAGATAACACAATAAAGGGCTGCAATATAATACCCAGGCTCCAAAAATATAAAGAATTTCTATAATGTTGAACCATTACGCAAATTCAACTACAACTATAATTCATCATAAAAGAAAAAAAAAAAGAGAAAAAGATTAAGATAACGCTACATTTAAGAGAGTTAAATAAAAACATATAAACGCACCCAGTAAATTTAAAAGCCATCACTGTTTTGAGAACAGAAACTGTCACACTGCATGTGGGAAGGCCTTTGGAGTACAGCTTATGTTTATGTTACATAAATCACACCTTTTTTGTATCTTGATCTTTACGTGCATATGATCACATCAATCCCCAACGTAATTCCACTGCCTTTTAATGATGATACACCAGCGATGAATCTGTGTCACAGTTAATGCTGCTGCAGAAAACTCAGTTATGAATTTCATTACTTGTGCACTAAATCCCGACTCGACGGCTGAATTATTTAGGAGCTCCCGACAGCGGACAGTATGGAAGCTCTCTTGCCCTGTGAGAAATACTGGAAGTTAAAAAAATTAAGAAAACAAGTTAGGTGGCGGTGTGGGGAAAGAGAATGAAAAAAGGTGTATCTTGATACGTGAGGAAGCCACATCTCGGCGCTGCTTGGACGGCTGAGTGACGCATGCCCATGCCTGAGCACATCTGCTCCGATCCATCTTCCTGTGACAGTTTCCTGTCCCCATGACACACACGCCAGGACTTGCACTTCCACACCCAGAAACCTCCAGGCAGCCGTGGCAGGGTTCGTAAGCCGGCAAAGGCACTTTCTGTTGCCTTGGCTTTAAGGACCAGCCCCTACCCTCAAACGCTTACCCCCCTACCTGATGGAAGAAGGGGCTGAACATCCCCTCTTGTCCCATCCCCTACCTGCCCCTGCCAGACTGTTCTTCTCACCCCAGGTTTGCCAGTGCTTTCCTCAGCCTCGGACACATTTTTCCTCTTCTGCTTGAAGCAACAGGCAGGGCATGAAAGCTATGGGAGGGAAGGATGCATTTTTCACAAAAAGCAGGGCCTGCTGTAGACAAAACTAAGCGTAGGCAAGGCACAAACAGCTTCTCTCGGAGGACCCCAGCGGTCTCATTTAGCAACCACGCAGCAATTCTCCTGCTTGAGCGGGGTCATTTCGAGCATGTCATAATGCTGGGAACCATCCAACACAAGCCCCTCAGGTCCACCAAACTTAGTCACCGGTTGGCCTAAGAGGAGTCTGGGACTCAGCTCAAGAGATTTAGTCAGTTTCTAGATAATCAGGTAAAATTATGGAATAGCAAGTGTTCCTACTCCCCTTTGTCATAGGTGGCACAAATGTGTCTGCGGAGAACCTGCAACTTGCAACACAATTTTTCAAATTACTTGCATAACCTGTGCTTCCCCAGATGCCCAGAAGATAGTTAGACAGCACCTTTCATATATTATAATGATTAATCAGCTACAAATTCATGACTTGAAATGCTATCATTGCAGTTTTGCCTCTTGGAGATCCCCGTGACCTTTGAAGAGCTTTATGTACTAGTTAACTGGTTTTGTTCCTGTAGTGACAACTACTAGTGTTTCCAGTTAGTTCGCATTCCTGTAAAACCACACTTCTCTTGTCCCTAAATATTTTGGAAGTTACTCGTTAAGCTAACAAATCTCAAAAGCACAATAGAGAACACAGAGCAAGCCAGTAATTGCCCAGCGCTGAGCACAAGGCAGGCTTTCAAAAAGATTCCTTTTGTTTGTGATCCCTGATGAGAAGAACCAGAGGTGAGCTGAGGCAGGACAGCCACAGACCTGCCAACTCTCCCCTCCCCACCTGCTCTCCTGCACCTCGGGAAGCCATCTATCCCCTGGCAAATGCCAGGCCACCTGGGCTGCCCGAAATGACAGGCAAATGTTGCCACAGGCAGGCAGCGGAGTCGGTGCTCAGCACTGCACGCAGGGCTTCCAGGAGCACCACGCTGCTCACTAAGGTGGAAACCTACAAGTCTTGAACAGCTCCTTTACACTCTGACTTCTCCAATTCCAGCAGCAGCTGCTAAAAAATTACAATTCCGTCAGAAGTTAGCAGCTGTGGACAATTTAAATCAAATATGCAAAACACTTACTTATTGCTACTGCCAAGTTTGATCCATCAGGATAAATGCCCCACATATACCACATGTCACCCTTTCCCCCATCTCCCTTCAATAAACTGTGCTCACGGTAACAAATGGCAGTCCATAAGGGCGTCTTTCACAACAGTCACTGTGGAAAACCTCTAACCAAGGGAGACTTGGCACCCCTGATGCTGCTGTTGCTGAACCAGGCTCCCTGGTTTTGTCCCCATGGACAAAGCCAGCGCCAAGCTGCACATCACACACGGGCCCCATGTGCAGGAGCTGGTGGAAGCAGGCACAGAGATGAGGGACCTCAAGGAGGTTTATTTTCCCGGCTCCAACGTAAGAAAAGGAAGAAAATAACTATCTTGAAAGCAACACAATTGCACTTGACAAACTGATGTGCCATCAAATCAGAACAGTAAG